CGTCCGTGAACAGCAAGCCAGGACTGAGGATATCGATCAAATTTGAGGTGCATCACACACCGTCGACCAACGATCGCAGTGTTCTTCGATCTGGACGAAAATTTCGATTTAGTTGACCGCCAAACTCTGATGTGTTCCCTTCTTTGAAGAGTAATGCCCCAGAAGTACGTTGACTGTACCCACATCGAGTGAGGGTCTACAACGAACTAAGTAGTTCTTTCGCCATACTTGTTCAATCTCGTCGTAGAGGAAATGCTAGAGACCATACTGAGTGGTTTCCAAAATGTTGGCATTGAATGGGCAGCTGAAAAAAGTTGTGCGGTTTAGAGTACACCAATGACATCGTTTGTCTGTTCTAATTTATGGTGGACGCGCAAAACGCACTTGATAGACTAACAAGTGTTGTTGTCACAGCCGAAATGTGCTTTGCACCTACAAAGTGCAAACTGGAGCTACAACCCTGCCATCTTGCCCCGCTTTTCAACCAAATGGTTCGTAATTAGTTACAGGGGACTAATTTTCCCACTTAGGTATTTGTGTGATCAATAACCGCAGCGCAGCAAAGGAGATAACCGCCCGCATTTCAGAGGGTCGAGCAGTGTACGCAGGACTGAAACACCCTTAGCGTAGACGCGACGTTTCACTGAAGTTAAAAGGTCGTGTATATTGTGTTACTCCATCACTACGAGACTACACTTTGACGCGGTGTGATGGTTTGTGCACCTCTGTGACCCAACGAGCTACACAGGATATCTTTACAAAGCCAGATCTTATCATGCCTGGAAGGTCAATGGGTAGAGGTCAGACGAAGTGCAGTCTCCTGGTCCATCCAGGTTGAGGATTCGACTGGGATTTGCGTTTCAGCCGGTAAAAATGGTGAAGTAATCGATCCAAGTAAATGGGCCTCCACTTCGCCTCACCCGCTGCCCTTGCGGTTAGGTTCTTGTTAGAACTGAAGGCTTTGGACGAGAACCCTAATCGTTCCCCTGCTTAGTGGTTGGATACCCTAGCAGTACTCGTCCACCAAACCCCAATGCATACACAAACAAAAAATAATTCCACACTGCATCGGTCGTCGCGCAGGATAATTAGGACCGCGCTGCCCATTGCATCGAGCGGAGTGGGTAGTGATAAGTGGGCTACTGCTCAGATATCCTAACCTTTGTTTACCTCTTTGTCTTCCGTTTCCAACCTTCTCCCTTTACCCCTTCTTCCGACCTGTAATAGTCCCTCAAACAACTTGGATGTCGCTCGCCAAAGGTCATTGCCAAATAGCACTGTAAGTGATTTACCACGGAATAGATTGCAGATTCTAAAGCCTCGTCAATCACTGAATCTGAGGGCCTTCAACGTGAGGACTTTGATGCAGCTAGGTCAACAAGCTCGTACAATGGAATCCTTGGGAATCGATATTTGCTGCGTGTCGGAAACTCGAATCTAGGATCCTACTACTACAAGCTACTTGAGCGCGCCAGATTTGTCGACAAGATACGTTCTTCGCACATCAGGCGACGATGAAGCTTGTTCAGTAGGTCAGCGCGGGGTAGGTATTGTACTGAGTAATAGGGCGGAGTCCTCTGTTATCGATGGGATCCCCGTCAACAGTCGTTTATGTGCAGTGCGTCTCCAGGGTTCAATCAGCGTCCGGAAGGGAAGCAACACCAAAAGATGTTTGTTTATCGTATCAGCATATGCACTGGCCGATTGCAGTTCTGATACCCAAATGTTCGCTTTCTACGATTAACTCACCGATCTCATTCGGACGAGCCAATGCTCAGACATAGTTGTACTTGCAGGTGAGTTCAACGCGCAGGTTGGAAAACTGAGCGCATCAGAAGCTTGCCTAAGCGGTAGTTGTGCTCTACCCTACCATCGAACGGATAACGGCGATCGACTTCTTCAGTTCTGCGCAGATCATTATCTGTTCCTGTCAAGCACCAACTTCCGACACAGCTCTCGACGGACGGCAACGTGGCGTTCCAGTTCAACTGGTACCGTAACTCAACTCGACCACATAGCAGTAAGTTGCCGTTGGCGTGGCTCAGTGCAAAATTACAGGCCCTATTGGACCACCTGCGTTGAGTGTGACCACGCA